TCAAGATGTTGAACATTGCCAAAAAGTAAGTGGGTTCATTCGCCCTCCATGGTGTGAGACAACTGGGGCTGGCCCAGCCCTGCCATGAGGGGTAGTGGAGGCACCCATGGTCCCAGCCCTGCTGCGGGAGTGAGTCGTATGTTTCCCCCCTAAGCCATTAGTACTAACTCTGACCTCTCCTTGCCTTGCAAAGCAGCTGCACCCAATCCTGGACACCAGCCTCGAGAACCCACCCCCAGAGCACTTGACCGGCACCGGACCAGCCTGCGGCTTGGTGCTGCTCAGCTCTCTGGCTGGGGCCCTTGGCATGAGTGAGTGCCATGGCTCAGGAACAAGTCCTGCCTCTTGATGCATGATGCAGATTCTTTCCTGCGCTGGGTGTGTGGGGGGGAATCTGCCCCTGCAGGCAACTCTCTGGTTGGCCCCGTCTGTCCCCTCCCCGGTCTGTCCCTGTGCCCAGGATCCTGCGCATCAAGAAGGAGCCGCCCATCCTACAGCCGAAGGAGCCCTTGGTGCTGGAAGCGGATCTGACTGAGTTTGACGTGGCCAACTCCCGCTTTCCATCTGAGGTGCTGAACATGCTGAAGAACATCCAGTGAGTGCCCCCATGCACCGGGGCCCCGAGCCCAGACTCAGCTGCAGCCACGTTTCCCCCTCCCCGCAAGCAAGCTTGACCTAGGGTGAGCACCTCTGAGGTTCAAAATCCAGGAGAGCTGGGATGATCCTGAGCCCATGACCTGGCCAGCTGGCTATGTGTAATGGAGCACTCTGTCCAACTGATTTCCCAGTGTGGTCCTGGGAAAACCTGGACAGGTGGGCTGGACACTATGTGAACCTGTCAGAACATCTAGTCCAGTGGGTCTCAACCTTTCTTCATTTGCGGATCCCTCTGGAAATTTTGGATGGAGGTGCGGACCCCTTGGGAAATCTGTCTGTACATACAGCTTAATTCTGTTCAGTCTGTTTTTAACCTGTCCTTTGTGGACCCCTTAGGCATAATGTGTGGACTCCAGGGGTCTTGCGGACCACAGATTGAGAACCACTGGTCTAAGCTGTGCAGGCTCCAGCCCAGGCAGACCATAGGTGGGAGAGTTGCCAAGAATGCTCTGGAGCAGCAGGAATGGTGGCCCTGGTTATCCAGTAGGGAGCACTCTTCCCTCTTGGCTGATACAGAGCTAGTGCTCCCCAGGGTAGGGCAGCTGGAGGCAGACTCTGTCGAGTGAGAGCAAGTGCCCTTGTGGGCTCGTGGTGGGGACCCAGCATAGCGTTAGTCCTGGCTGAGTCCCAGCAGTGTTCATAGAATCATAGAATATAAGGGTTGGAAGGGACCCCAGAAGGTCATCTAGTCCAACCCCCTGCTCGAAGCAGGACCAATTCCCAGTTAAATCATCCCAGCCAGGGCTTTGTCAAGCCTGACCTTAAAAACCTCTACCACCTCCCTAGGTAACGCATTCCAGTGTTTCACCACCCTCTTAGTGAAAAAGTTTTTCCTAATATCCAATCTAAACCTCCCCCACTGCAACTTGAGACCATTACTCCTCGTTCTGTCATCTGCTACCATTGAGAACAGTCTAGAGCCATCCTCTTTGGAACCCCCTTTCAGGTAGTTGAAAGCAGCTATCAAATCCCCCCTCATTCTTCTCTTCTGCAGGCTAAACAATCCCAGCTCCCTCAGCCTCTCCTCATAACTCATGTGTTCCAGACCCCTAATCATTTTTGTTGCCCTTCACTGGACTCTCTCCAATTTATCCACATCCTTCTTGAAGTGTGGGGCCCAAAACTGGACACAGTACTCCAGATGAGGCCTCACCAATGTCGAATAGAGGGGAATGATCACGTCCTTCGATCTGCTCGCTATGCCCCTACTTATACATCCCAAAATGCCATTGGCCTTCTTGGCAACAAGGGCACACTGCTGACTCATATCCAGCTTCTCGTCCACTGTCACCCCTAGGTCCTTTTCCGCAGAACTGCTGCCTAGCCATTCGGTCCCTAGTCTGTAGCTGTGCATTGGGTTCTTCCGTCCTAAGTGCAGGACCCTGCACTTATCCTTATTGAACCTCATCAGATTTCTTTTGGCCCAATCCTCCAATTTGTCTAGGTCCTTCTGTATCCTATCCCTCCCCTCCAGCATATCTACCACTCCTCCCAGTTTAGTATCATCCGCAAATTTGCTGAGAGTGCAATCCACACCATCCTCCAGATCATTTATGAAGATATTGAACAAAACCGGCCCCAGGACCGACACTTGGGGCACTCCACTTGATACCGGCTGCCAACTAGACATGGAGCCATTGATAACTACCCATTGAGCCCGACAATCTAGCCAGCTTTCTACCCACCTTATAGTGCATTCTTCCAGCCCATACTTCCTTAACTTGCTGACAAGAATACTGTGGGAGACCGTGTCAAAAGCTTTGCTAAAGTCAAGAAACAATACATCCACTGCTTTCCCTTCATCCACAGAACCAGTAATCTTATCATAAAAGGCGATTAGATTAGTCAGGCATGACCTTCCCTTGGTGAATCCATGCTGGCTGTTCCTGATCACTTTCCTCTCATGCAAGTGCTTCAGGATTGATTCTTTGAGGACCTGCTCCATGATTTTTCCAGGGACTGAGGTGAGGCTGACTGGCTGAATCTATGATTCTATGACCCAGCTGCCTCCTGGTTCCACCACCGCTCAAAATGTAGCTCCGCTGATGCTAAGAATCCAGAGTCTATTGAGCAGGAACATGGGACAGACAGCACCCTTGCTTGGAGAACCCATGCTTTGCAAAATGAGACATGGACTTTCATTCACCCTGCACTGAATTGCAGCCACTTCTGGAGTGGAGCATAGTACCTGCATAACAACACATGGATTGGTCGCCCAGCACAGAAAGGCAGATACCTCTGGGGTGGAGCGCAGCAGCGTATCATAGAATGTGAGGGTTGGAAGGGACCTCAGGAGATCATCTAGTCCAACCCCCTGCTCAAAGCAGGGCCAATCCCCAATTTTTGCCCCAGATCCCTAAATGCACCCCTCAAGGATTGAACTCACAACCCTAGGTTTAGCAGGTCAATGCTCAAACCACTGAGCTATCCCTCCCCCCCACAACACAATACAGGGATCACTCACCTGGCATTGAAATGCAGGCAGCTCTGGATGGAGCATAGCAGATGTGCAACAGCACTCAACAACACTACACAGGGGTCACTCACCCAGAACTGAAATGATGCCACATCTGGGGTAGGAATGCAGCAGCTGTTGAACAGCCACAGAGCGACACTCCTCACAGTGTAGAGCAGGATGTGAAGAAGACTCTCACTTCCATTCGAAAGCTCTGGGGGAGTTCACAGAAACAGACCATGCTGTTAACCTGAGCTGAACAGCAGCCAGGACACAATAGATTGGGTCTGCACTGCGGGTAACCAGACAACAGCTCTGCCATGAGGGATTCGTTCTGATTGACGGAGGGAGGGATGGGGCAGGGAGCCAGTCAAGCTTGGGGAACAAATTCCTTCTCCAGGACGCTTTGCTCCAGGATCTTAGAGCCCAGGCTCTACGGCCATTAATTCCTGCACCACCCAGCTGGAAGGGAAGGGCTGGGGAAGGTCTTTGCGCTCCACATGTCACAGGAGGACAGGGCAGAACGAACCATGTCACAGAATGAATCAGTTGCATCACCTGGACTAGAACCCAGGAATCCTACCTGCCAGCTCTCTGCTCTAACCATTAGACCCCACTCCGCTCGCAGTCAGGAGAGACCCCAGGAGTCCTGATTCCTAGACACACACACACACACACACACACACGTTTCTCTAACCCAGTGGTTCTCAACCAGGGTCACGGGTGCCCCTGGGGGTACGCAGAGGTCTTCCAGGGGGTACACCAACAGGCTACACAAAAAGCTTTAGCAAAGTCAGGACAAACTAAAATGTCATACAGACAATGACTTGTTTATACTGCTCTGTATACTGTTGGGTGTGTTTTGTTATAGGATTATAGTCTGTTAAAATAGGTGTATATTAAAGTCAATATGGGGTTTGTAAAGACAGAGCAGCAATCCAAGATGGCGTCTGAACGGCCATCTTGTGACCGCCATCTTGTTGTTTACGGTGATCGTGGCCCAGTCATAACTGGATCCAACCGGCTTTTCCCGCCATTGGCAGCTCCCAGGACAATTTTACCTCAGACTGTTTCCACCCCGGCTGGGGCTGTACCATGTTTTCCCGCCGCTCCGTGCAGGAAGGGCCGGGACTGGCTGAGCAGTGGTACAGTCCCTTCCCTCCGGCCCTCCCCGCCCCCGGCAGCGCTGAAGGACGCCATTCCCGACGGGGCGCGACGGGCAGAGGCCGTTCGCTCCATTCGACCTGCCCCTGTTCCTGGGTGCAACACGGGGCCTGGCTGAGGGGGGCTGGGTGGAGGGGGGGCGAGGGGCCTGGCTGATGGGGGGAGGCTGGGGGGAGGGGGGACTTGCAGCTCAGTGGGGGGCCCTGACTGGAGTGGGCTGAGGCCCCACTACCCCAACCCAGTCCTCGCTTTAACCCTGCCCGAGGCCCCCGCCTCCCTCTGCGCCCCACGTGACCAGGTGGGGGTTCAGTGGGGACCTGCGTGGCCCTGTCACTGGTCGCCTGCCCATTGGTGCCCAGGCCCAGCCCTCGCAGCGCCAGAAGTGGGGGGCTGCGGCGTTCGGCCGTCTTCAGCCCTGCAGACATCGACCCGCCAGCACCCCAGTTGCTTTACACTGAAATCAGTCACTGGGGGGGGCTGGGCCCGTCCATCAGTGACACTGGGGGGGCTGGGCCCGTCCACCAGTGACTGATTTCAGCGTCGCTAGGGGCTGTGGCCCAGTGTCACAGACACTCCCCAGAGCATGGCAGGGAGAGGCCAGGGCGTGCCCAAGGTCAGGAGCAGAGCCGGGGCAGAACCCAGGAGTCCTGACTCCAGCCCCACCCCGCACACAGCTGAGTCCCACTTCTACCCATAGGGCTCGAGGGGACGTGGCAAGAGGCAGAAATGGCCCCGTCCGGGCTGAAGGCGGTGGTGCGCAAGAGTGAGTGCGGAGCCGGGGGGTCTGAGTGCGGAGCCGGTCGGGGGCAGGGTCTGGTTGGGTGTGGGTCTGGGGGGGCAGGGCCCAGTTGGGGGGCCCTGGGAGGGGCGCTCCTGGGGGTGTCTCACCCTCGGGGAGGATTAGGAGTCAGTCGGAGCAGAGAGCTCCCCCCCGCCTGCCTGTCATACACCAGGAAGGGGAGGAGGCTGTCTGCCCCACCCCCAAGGGCTGCCCCCTCCCATAGGAGCTGCACTTTGGGGGGGGGCGTCATCGTCGTCATCTCTTTCCATCAGGATGACTCCCACCAGGGCCGGTGCAAGGATATTTTGTGCACTAGGCGAAACTTCCACCTTGCACCCCCCCCCCCCCCCTCCCCAACAACCTCTGAAAACTAGTAAAGTTAGCATTATAAACAGCCTGTCAGAATGGGTAACGGCTGCGCGCGAGGAGAAAAATGACGTCATAGCCGCTTTGTAACGTAGTGAAGCAGTACACTTCTGCCCGGCCCCAACACAGAGCTGGCGTAGGCTATAGCTGTAATGTAGGAGAGAGCAAGTTAAAGCCTTACACTTCAGAAGCCCAACCCACTTCTGTTACTTCAGAAGCCCAGATCCACTGCTGAATCTCCAGCCCAGGCTGCAGTGGACGGGGCCTGTGGCTAAATCCAGACCACAGACCTGGGGTTTAAAAGACTCTTGGAAAGTGGATTCAGTTCTGATGTTCCATGGTTGCCCCCAGAACTGGGACAGAGCAAAAGTGGCCCACAGTTCAGGACGGCCGGTGGTGCTAATAACCCTTAGCTCTTCTCTTAGCTTTTCCTCACTAAATCGCACAATTAGGAGGGCCTGACACGTGACTTTTGAATACTTGGGGTGGGCCATACTGCCCTGGTTCAAGAGGGGTCTCTGAACAGGAATAGCAGGGGGCTGCGGGTCAGGAGTGAGGGGCATCTGCAGAGCCGTGGCAGGGTGGGGGGGAAGCCAGGACTGGAATAGCTGCGGGTCAGGAGTGAGGCAGAGCTGGTGGGGGACAGACCAGAGCTGGCATAGCAGAGGGCTGTGGACAGGAGTGAGGGGCACTGGCAGAGCTGGGAATGGGGGGAGGAAAGGGCTGGGATTGCAGGGGCTCCAGTCAGTAGTGAGGGGCACTGGCAGAGCTGGTGGGGGGAGCCCAGGGCTGGCGTGGGGAGCTGTAACTGCAGTTCAGGGTCAAAATGCCTGGGCGGAGTTGCGTGGAGAAAGCAGGTTCATGTCTGCCTTCACCATGTCTGGATCCAGGCTGTGCTGCCGGCCCCTTACCTTGCACTAGAGCCCCACGTGTCCCGGTGAACGGGGCGTCCGCATGCCACAGGTGTAAAGGAACTGCAGGAAAGCAGCAGGGAGGCCAGCGCGTCCTGGTGCAGAATAGCCCCTGGAGCCTCATTAGGACCGAGCAGCCAAGTCCTGATGGGCTAGAGGTGGGGTAGGGAGAGGCATTGCTTGAGTTATGGTGGAAACATAGTGTGTTGGGCAGTGCACTCACGCACACCAGCTACCAGGAGTGGGAGTGAGAGTGAGAGCACAGGTCAGGGTCGTGGGGCTATTGCCCTACGGGGCCAGCCAGAATCAGGTGCTTCGTAGGGGTAAAACAAACAGATGTATTATGGTAGCACCCAGGAGCCCCAGTCATGGACCAAGGCCCCATTTTGCAAGGCGTTGTACATTATTCATTAGGTGTATTACGGTAGTGCCCAGGAGCGCCAGTCATGGGTCAGGGTACCATTATGCTGGGCACAACAAAAAGATGGTGCTTGGCCCAAAGAGCTGACTATCTAATTGCTTAGCTGGGCCGTGGAAGGTGCCCAGGAGACAGGCCGGCAGTTCTCTGAGCGGGGCATGCCTTGGAGGGGGGGTTCTATGTGCAGGACTCAGGATTTGAAGTCTTTGTTGTGTTGTTGTCCCCCACACACTGTAGAGGGTCCCTGGATCCCCTCCAGTCAAGAGGTGCTGGACAGGATCTGTTCTCTTGCTGCACGGGGCCAGATCCTTAGTTCAGCTGTGCTTGTATCCAGCCTGGCAGAAAGGAAGGGGGATCAGACCCATGGCCCATCTAGCCTGTCACCCCACCACGATCGCCGACTGGGGGCTCGGCTAGGAGCACATCGCTAGCTGGCCTGAAAGCAGCCTCTGAGCCACTTCCCCGAGGGGTCCTTCCACCAGCCAGTGGGTCCTGGCTCAGGCACAGCCGTCCCATCCAAGCCCCACCACTGATCCTCATCTCTTTCACTCGCAGAGATCCTCAGCGTTGTCCTTCACAGCGTGAAGAAGGAAAGAGAATGGAAGGTAAGCAGGCCGAACCTGTTGCCCTGGTGTCCCCCTGGGGATATGCTGTATCCATATATCATGCTCCTCCCCCTCCAGCCCCTTGAGATTCATTAGGAACCTGAGCTTTTCCAGGCTGGATCAGATCCCTGCTCTGTCTAGCCCATCATCCGTCCCCAGCTAGGCTTGGGTATGTCTGCCTTCCCACTGCGCTGGATCAGACCCAGCTTGTCCAGCTAGCCCCATATCTCCCCCCGACACACACACCGGATCAGACCACTGGGACCAGTGAATCAGCCTGGGTGGGAGGAGGAGCAGGAGAGTGCCAAGCATGGGGGCAGTATGCACCATTGGGCAGGCAGGTTATTGAGCCCCCGGCATGGACTGGGCTGGGGGATGTGGAGCATCGGGTTAGGCCGGTGTGGCAGAGGGAGCATTCGGCACGGCAGGAAGGTGGTGGAGATGTTGGGCCAATGGCCTACAGGGCTTTCCTAGGGGAACACGGAGACTCCCCTCGTTCCATTTCTCTGTGCCCTGATCCTGGTTCTGTCCGAGGGCTGGGGAGCGGATATCTGGTGGATCGGAGCAGGGGACTGGGAGCTAGGACTCCTGTTCTGTCCCTGCCTCTTGCACTCACCCTGTCACCTGGGCGAAGAGGCTGATCTCCTCCCATCTAGGAGGATGGAACCATTCTGAATGGCCGGGTGTCCCAGGTTTGTCTCCTACATCTCGTACCAGCCACTCTGCTCGGAGCCGCTCTCCCTGTAGCTCCTCACGCAGTCCTTAGCACGGTCAGCTCAGCAAAGTGCAGGATTGGTACCGGCCCTGCTGCTCTGCTGTGAAAGGGCTGTGGAAGGGCTCTGCCATTAGCAGTCGCTCTGCTCCCTTGGCTGTGCCGTGGATGATGATGGTGGGCAGCTGGGCTCAGGGCAGTGACTAGTTCATCCAAAGTGGAGCGCTCCCCTCTCGCTACCCCAGGTGCTGATCATGGACCACCCCAGCACGCGCATCCTCTCATCATGCTGCACAATGTCCGTGTCACGGAGTCCCTGGGCGATGCTCTGGAACTGCTCCCCATGAAGCCAGGGAGGACTCTGGGGCAGTCGCCTTTCTGTGAGTGGCCTGTCTTCAGGACACACAGCTCACCCAGCTTCCACCTTCCTGGGTCTGACCTCGGAGCATTCAGCATCCTCTGCCCCTCCGTGCGCTTCCCGCAGCGAGTCCGCTCAGGCGGGGCTCCTGGGGAAGCCAGAGGGTCCTGCACCCCAACTTCGCAGTCAGACGTGACTCTCAGCCAGCCAGTAAAACAGAAGGTTTATTAGACGACAGGAACATGGTCTAAAACAGAGCTTGCAGGTGCAGAGAACGGGACCCCTCAGCTGGGTCCATTTTGGGGGGTAGTGAGCCAGACAACCACGTCTGCACTTCACTCCATGTCCCAGCCAGCCCCAAACTGAAACTCCCTCCAGCCCCTCCTCCTCTGGGCTTTGTTCCTTTCCCGGGCCAGGAGGCCACCTGATTCCTTTGTTCTCCAACCCTTCAGCTTTCACCTTGCAGGGGGGGAAGGGCCCAGGCCATCAGTTGCCAGGAAACAGGGTGTTGGCCATTCTCTGTGTCCAGACCCCTGCACACACCTGCCCTCTAGGGCTCTGCAATGATCATACACCCTTACCCCACCACCTAGATACTTAAGAACTGCATAGGGGAAACTGAGGCACACCCACAATATTCGGAGGAAACATTAAGAACAGGCCCACTTCGTCACATCTCTCCCCCCTTCGAGATCGAACTGAGCGGGGTCACTTTACCCGGTGACCTGGGGAAGTTCGAAGCCACCAATGTTCCCATGGATGCCCCAGCATCTCTCCCATTCCTTGGTAGGAGTTACACCAGGCCCTTCCAGTTTCACGCCCTCCCTTAGGTCGGGGGTGGTCGATAGCACTAGCAGGCTGCATGTGGGAAGGTTTCTGCAGCCCATGCCCTTTGGCCACCCCAAAACCCCAGGGGGTCAAACTGGGATTGGGTTTTCTCCCAGAGCTCCAGTCTGGAGGGCTGCAATTCGGGCTCTCTTGGTCAAGGGCCCCCATCTTGACCTGGGCCACATACTGTTCACTTACAGAACTAGCATGGAGACATCCCTTTCTCCACAACCTTGTCTCCCCAACAAGCTGGCCAAACACAGCCACTTGGTTATAGGACGGTATACCTTTCTTAACAGCTTTCACTCCATCTGAGACCTTCTCAAAGCTATCCACACTGGATCTTTCAACAGGAAAGTCAGTGGATCCATTCACAACAGAAAATTTCTGGCTGTTAGGAACTGAAACTTTCTTGATTAAATAATTTTCACACCCTTCAGTTGCAGTAAACTGCTTGCAAAGACTCCATGAGGATTCCTTTCCCTAGGGGCTTTTCTATGCAACAATTCACCCCTCACAGAAATTCTGCTCTTACCCTCTTTACCTAGGGCTTGCTCTAGGGGAACACTTTCCTGAGCAACAACAGACTCTTTCTGGGTCTCCCTTACATCCAGAATCACCTCTGGCCCATCAGGCGGATTCCTACACAATCCCCTTTCAGGCAAACTTACAGACTTCCTAGATAAAAGGTGTCACGGAGTCCCTGGGCGATGCTCTGGAACTGCTCCCCATGAAGCCAGTCAGGACTCTGGGGCAGTCGCCTTTCTGTGAGCAGACTGTCTGCAGGACACGCAGCTCACACAGCTTCCACCTTCCTGGGTCTGACCTCGGAGCATTCAGCATCCTCTGCCTCTCCGTGTGCTTCCCCCAGCGAGTCCGCTCAGGCGGGGTCCTAGGGAAGCCAGAGGGTCCTGCACCCCAACTTTGCAGTCAGACATGACTCTCAGCCAGCCAGTAAAACAGAAGGTTTATTAGACGACAGGAACATGGTCTAAAACAGAGCTTGCAGGTGCAGAGAACGGGACCCCTCAGCTGGGTCCATTTTGGGGGGCAGTGAGCCAGACAACCACGTCTGCACTTCACTCCATGTCCCAGCCAGCCCCAAACTGAAACTCCCTCCAGCCCCTCCTCCTCTGGGCTTTGTCCCTTTACCCGGCCAGGAGGGCACCTGATTCCTTTGTTCTCCAACCCTTCAGCTCTCACCTTGCAGGGGGGGAAGGGCCCAGGCCATCAGTTGCCAGGAAACAGGGTGTCGGCCATTCTCTGTGTCCAGACCCCTGCACACACCTGCCCTCTAGGGCTCTGCAATGATCATACACCCTTACTCCACCCCCTAGATACTTAAGAACTGCCTAGGGGAAACTGAGGCACCCCCACACTATTCAGAGGAAACATTAAGAACAGTCCCACTTCGTCACAAAAGGTTAGAAGCATTCTCCTTCCCTTTGCCACACACAAGTTCAGGAATCTTTTCCTCCTTGCTACAGGTTTCCACACCCTCAGTAGGTAACACAATCACACACCTTCATGCTCTCCTTGTGCCTTGGCTAGGATCTCACCCTGATTAGACAGAGTTGCTCCACCCTTTCCAACAACACACTAGCAACAGGCAAAATACAAGCACCAGAATTGTCTGGTCTCTGGGATTTTACATAGACCCTAACTGGATGCGACCTAGTTACAGGGCCATTCTCCCGAGCAGACAGAAACTTAGGACCCTTCCCTTCCTGGGCTTTAGCTGAATCCAGAACCAGCTCTGAGACAACTGCACGACCCTCAACCATCACAGGCTGAAAGGCCCCTTCTGTCTGCTCCACAGACCAAGAAGAGCTGGACACACTTTCTCCTTTACCAGACACACAGGTTGGGATCTCATTCCCTTTGTCCCAGCACACAAGGCTGGTCACAGACAACTGCTTGGAGATCAGGGTAGCTCCCTCCATAGGCAAGTCAATACCCCTGACAGACAGAGACCCATTTCCTTCACTGTCCCAATTCTCCACCCAGCTAACAGGTAAGGTCCAGGGACTCTCATCTTCCACTCTCCTCGCCTTCCCACCCTGCTGACTGGACACAACCATCAGATCACAAGGCTGCCTAGGCTCATCCAAACTTTCCTTACCAAGCACCTTGCCACTCCCCACAGATCCCCTGCCCTGCCTGTGTCTCCCCCCACTCAGCTGGGGTCTCAGCTCCCACTGTGCTCAGCCCTGCCCTTGCTGTCCCAGTGGGGCAGGCCACTGCTTTCCTCAATGCATCAGAGCCAGCAAGAGTCCCCACTCTTGTGTGCAAGGGGGCAGGGAGCATCTCTCTGTCCCACCCAGCCCCAGGGGTCTGGTTACAGGCAGGCAGGTAGCCTGAGCCTAGTGGCTCCTCCCTGCTGCCAGCCAGGTCATCTGCATTTTCACTGACCATTTCCCCCTCCACCGATTGGTTCCCTGGATTCAAATTCAAACCCTTGGCAGTTACAGGAACAGGGCCTGGATCCTGTCCCAAAGAGACACAGTCACCCCACAACAGGGTCTCGCAGCTGGTGGCCTGGGGCACCCCAACGACCAGCCAGCCCCACTCCTCCTGGGTCTGCACAGGGATCTGGGCCATAGGCAGGGCGAGGGGCTTCGTCCTTGGGACCCTCACCCAGCTCACACAGGCCCTCAGCATCTGAGGCTGCACCCCCCAGGGCCTGACACCAGTTCTCTCTGTCCCAGGTTCTCGCCACCCCAGGAATGTCTCCCCATTGACCGTCACCTTCCGCTCCCACTGGGGGTCCGAGGGGCCTGGCCCCAGGAAACTCCACACAGATATATAGGTTGGGGTCAGGAGTGGGAGCGTGTCCACCTCCTCACTCATCTGGCTGACGGAGTCTATGGCCTTGGGACCCAGCAAGGGAGCTAGACACCGGGGCTTTTCCGCAGGGTCCCCCTGGTTCAAATCTCCAGCCTGCTCAAAGGCAGTGAGGTGGGCATCCACACCCCCCCCCCTTAACTAGGGCAGCAATTTAGTCTCGAGGTTCCCTGCAGAACTGGCCCCCTGGGGTCTATCCCCACTCACCCTGGGGAGGTCCCCTAGGCCTCTCCGCCCCACCACCGCCAGTTCATGCTGCTGCTGCTTCTGCAGCTCTTTCTCGGGCTCTCGCTGTCTCCCACGGTCCTCTTGCTCTCTCGGACTCAGCTCCAATCCCGTCCGTCTCGATCCCCCGATGGGGAACCCGATCGTGAAGACCCCCGTCTGGTCGGGGACAGGAGTCTTGGCGATGCCTGGCTCCCACTCCAGCTGCTCCCAGATCCTGCTATAGCCCCAGTTGGGGTCAGGAATCTGTTCCTTAGAGCGGTCATCCTCCTCCAGCTGCACGATTAACTCTGCTTTGGTGAACTTTCCAACGCTCAACCCTCTCTTTTTGCACAGGGTTACAATGTCCTTCTTAAGGAGACGGGGACAGGCCATCACTCCGCTCCTCCCAAGTTGTTGTGGACTCACAGGCCCGTGTGTTCTCAGCTCCCCACGGTTTCCAGGGAGAACCCCTAGTGTGCCAGCTCTTCTCGAGGTCACCACCTCTTTGCCAGGGTCGAGCTGCAGACTCCTCCGCCCCTTGGAATGCTCGCTGCAATCCCCAGGGGAACCCTGCTACTGCACAGTCCTTCTCGCTGGTCACACACTCCCAGGGGTTAACCGCCCCCCCGAAACCGCTCCTCTCTGAGCCTTCAGCAGGCCTAGTCCTCGGCAATCCCCCTTCGTGTTACTGCTCCCCAGTCACTTACTGCAGGAAGCACCATCCACGGGGTGCAGTACATCCCACCGCTGCCACCAGTTGTCACGGAGTCCCTGGGCGATGCTCTGGAACTGCTCCCCATGAAGCCAGTCAGGACTCTGGGGCCGTCGCCTTTCTGTGAGCAGCCTGTCTTCAGGACACGCAGCTCACACAGCTTCCACCTTCCTGGGTCTGACCTCGGAGCATTCAGCCTCCTCTGCCCCTCCGTGCGCTTCCCACAGCGAGTCCGCTCAGGCGGGGCTCCTGGGGAAGCCAGAGGGTCCTGCACCCCAACTTCGCAGTCAGACGTGACTCTCAGCCAGCCAGTAAAACAGAAGGTTTATTAGACGACAGGAACATGGTCTAAAACAGAGCTTGCAGGTGCAGAGAACGGGACCCCTCAGCTGGGTCCATTTTGGGGGGCAGTGAGCCAGACAACCACGTCTGCACTTCACTCCATGTCCCAGCCAGCCCCAAACTGAAACTCCCTCCAGCCCCTCCTCCTCTGGGCTTTGTTCCTTTCCAGGGCCAGGTGGTCACCTGATTCCTTTGTTCTCCAACCCTTCAGCTCTCACCTTACAGGGGGGGGAAGGGCCCAGGCCATCAGTTGCCAGGAAACAGGGTGTCGGCCATTCTCTGTGTCCAGACTCCTGCACACACCTGCCCTCTAGGGCTCTGCAATGATCATACACCCTTACTCCACCCCCTAGATACTTAAGAACTGCCTGGGGGAAACTGTATTAGTAGGAGCATTGCCAGCAGACTGAGGGAAGTGGTTATTCCCCTCCATTTGGCACTGGTGAGGCCACACCTGGAGTGTTGCGTCCAGTTTCGGTCCCCCCACTACAGAAGGGATGTGGACAAATTGGAGGGAGTCCAGCGGAGGGCAACGAAAATTATTAAGGAGCTGGGGCACATGACTTACAAGGAGAGGCTGAGGGAACTGGGGTTATTTAGTCTGCAGAAGAGAAGAGTGAGGGGGAATTTGATAGCAGCCTTTAACTACCTGAAGGGGGGTTCCAAAGAGGATGGAGCTAGGCTGTTTGCAGTGGTGGCAGA